GTGCTGAGATACCTTTGAGAAGCTGAAGCCTTGTTCCTGTGTCTTTAGCTGGTTCTATTTATAACTTGTGGGGATGTAACAAGAAAACCCTGATTGGAGAGTTGCTGAATCAGAAATACTGTGTTGTGTTATATTTGCAACTTGACCTGATTGGCTGATAGGACGTCTTCAATGTAGCAGTGAAGTCTTACAAGACTTAGGTGATCAAGCCTGATAAAGGGGATGGTAATCCGTGTATACACCTGGAGTCATTGATATGCCGAATGCTAGTACATTGAACTTGAACCTTTGCTCGTTGACTGCAAAATATAGGTAATGTCAACAACAAGGGGGAATGGGACATGCAAATAGGCGTCTTGTAGGCCCAGACTGATTAACCAATGTTCTAGTCTGAGAGAGTTCTGTATGTTCTTGATCGGTTCCATCTGGAATGTGTGTGGACGTACTAGTAATGAGTGTGGACGTACTAGTAATGAGTGTTGAGCAATTTCAGAACGATAATCATGCTTATGTCCGAGGTACTAAGAAGATTGGCATAATGCATAAAACAACCCCAATTGGTCCCCGGGTTGGCGTTATATTGAAGTCCGGAGCTAGACAACCCCTAACTGGTACCCAGTTTGGTGTTATATTGAAGCCCAGAGCTAGATAACCTCCAACTGGTCCCCGGGTTGGTGTTATATTGAAGCCCCGAGCTAGACAACCTCCAACTGGTCCCAGGGTTGGCGTTATATTGAAGCCCGGTGCTAGACAACCTCCAACTGGTCCCTGGGTTGGCATTATATTGAAGCCCGGAGCTAGACAACCTCCAACTGGTCCCCGGGTTGGCGTTTTATTGAAGCCCCGAGCTAGACAACCCCAAACTGGTCCCCGGATTGGCATTATGTTGAAGCCCGGAGCTAGAAAACCTCCAACTGGTCCCTGGGTTGGCGTTATATTTAAGCACTGAGCTAGACAACCTCCAACTGGTCCCGGGGAAAGGCAGGCTCATTTCTATTGAAGTTAGAACTGGGGCCTGTTGATTAATCCTTCCATGCAGGGGCATGAAAGGAGTTTTGGCTGGATGTTTCTGTGTTCTTATCGCCATGTTAATAGTCGATCATGGAATGTAGCTTTCTGTTAAATGACTCAGTGCCATGACAGATTGTGATAGCATACTCATATAAATGGCTCTGATATCCTGTGATGAACTTGTTGCAGGAGATTGGGTGAGCAGGATTTTGGAAGACATCCAAAGTGATTAAGGAACTGTGGTCCACCTGGTCCAGTTTCATAATGTCCATGCTAATGCTAATCGTCTGCTTGTTTAGTGCCTCTAAATCCTTGAAACTGTTCCTGTCAATATGCATTTTCGTTGAAGGAGATTTTATGAACTCATAATATTCCTTATCAATGTTAAGTATGGTGGAAAAGGACAGTCATGTATCTTGCTATTTAACTTGAGTGATAGCTAGTCAGGTGTTGGGCGCTTTAGTGCTTTTTAGTGACTTCTTTAGCCTTTTAATAAGTGTTTCTGTAAAGGAGGGAAGTGGTATAGTGGATAATTCTTCTACCTAGGTGACATGTTCTTGACTTATTGTTACGTTTGTAAACATCCACAGGTGTCATATCCACAATGGGAAGTGGTATTACTATCCGAGATATACCCCCTTGGCAACTTGCACTGGGTAGAGCCATGATCCCGCGGGGCATGTTTTATGCCTGCCGGCCTACTTAAGGCTCAGATTGCACATGCTGCACGCAGGATAGCAGTGACTAGCCAAAGAATGTAGGTCGTCAGAGTTGTCTCTTCAGGAAATGCTGTCTTGGCTAAATGGACACGCCACCTATGCCTTGCAACAGCACTGCAGCATGGGATTCCTTAAGAAGTCTCAAGTCCCAGATTGATAGGTCTGGAGATTATGATGTTAATTTCCCCTCCCATTACATTGAGATGTCCGTGGGGCATGAGCTTTTTCTCGAGATACATGGACTGAGGGTGAGATATGAGAATTAGTATCCTGTTAATATTCTTTGGTCATGAGAGTTGGCTGACACGCTCCATTGATTTGAGAGAATTCACCACTATTTTAAGGGGATTTAATTCAGATTCGACTCAGAGGCTTCTTTCCAGCCCAGAGGAGCCACCCTACACTGCAGGACCGGGCGCTCATCAGAGGATCTATATCCAGCATGGTGCACTGGCTCCAGAAGTGACATCAATGCAACCGGATGGAGAACACTGATAGACAAGGAAGTGACGTCACCATAACCAAAACTTACATCATCACAACCGGAAGTGAGGTCACCATAACCAGAACTTACATCATCACAACCGGAAGTGACGTCGCCATAACCAGAACTTACATCATCACAACCGGAAGTGACGTTATCACAACCAGAACTTACATCATCACAGCCAGAGGTGACGTTATCACAACCAGAACTTACATCATCACAACCGGAAGTGACGTTACCATAACCAGAACTTACATCATCACAACCGGAAGCGACGTCATCACAACGAGATCTCACATCATCACAACCATGAGTGAAGCCATCATAACCAGAAGTGAAGTCATCACAACCAGAACTTACATCATCACAGCCAGAAGTGACGTTATCACAACGAGATCTCACATCATCACAACCATGAGTGACGCCATCATAACCAGAAGTGAAGTCATCACAACCAGAACTTACATAATCACAACTGTGAGTGACGTCATCATAACCAGAACTAACATCATCACAACCGGAAGTGATCATCATAACCAGAACTTACATCATCACAACCGGAAGTGATCATCATAGCCCAAAACTTACATCATCACAACTGGAAGTGACGTCATAAGACCAGAACTTACATCATCACAACCAGAAATGACGTCATCATAACCAGAACCTACATCATCACAACCAGAAATGACATCATTATAACCAGAACTTACATCATCATAACCAGATCTGGTATTCTGGTATATGTGCACAGCGTAGATGAACATGTAAACCTTCTGGTATCTAAGCACAGCCTACATGAACATGTATACCTTCTGGAATATGTGCACAGTCAGATGAACATGTATACCTTTTGGAATATGTGCACAGCCTAGATGAACATGTATACCTTTTGGAATATTTTCACAGCCTAGATGAACATGTATACCTTCTGGTATCTGTGTACAGCCTAGATGAACATGTATACCTTCTGGAATATGTGCACAGCCCAGATGAGCATGTATACCTTCTGATATCTGTGCACAGCCTAGATGAACATGTATACCACTTGGTATCTGTGCACAGCCCAGATGAACATGTATACCTTCTGGAATATGTGCACAGCCCAGATGAACATGTATACCTTCTGGTATCTGTGCACAGCCTAGATGAACATGTATACCTTCTGGAATATGTGCACAGCCTACATGAACATGTGTACCTTTTGGAATCTGTGCACAGCCTAGATGAACATGTATACCTTTTGGAATATGTGCACAGCCCAGATGAACATGTATACCTTCTGGTATCTGTGCACAGCCTAGATGAACATGTATACCTTTGGGAATATGAGCACAGCCTAGATGAACATGTATACCTTTTGGAATCTGTGCACAGCCTAGATGAACATGTATACCTTTTGGAATATGTGCACAGCCTAGATGAACATTTATACCACTTGGTATCTGTGCACAGCCTAGATGAACATGTATACCTTTTGGAATATGTGCACAGCCTAGATGAACATGTATACCTTCTGGTATCTGTGCACAGCCTAGATGAACATGTATACCTTTTGGAATATGTGCACAGCCCAGATGAACATGTATACCTTCTGGTATCTGTGCACAGCCCAGATGAACATGTATACCTTTTGGAATATGTGCACAGTCAGATGAACATGTATACCTTTTGGAATCTGTGCACAGCCTAGATGAACATGTATACCTTTTGGAATATGTGCACAGCCTAGATGAACATTTATACCACTTGGTATCCTATGCACAGCCTAGATGAACATGTATACCTTTTGGAATATGTGCACAGCCCAGATGAACATGTGTACCTTTTGGAATCTGTGCACAGCCTAGATGAACATGTATACCTTTTGGAATATGTGCACAGCCCAGATGAACATGTATACCTTCTGGTATCTGTGCACAGCCTAGATGAACATGTATACCTTTTGGAATATGTGCACAGCCTAGATGAACATGTATACCTTTTGGAATCTGTGCACAGCCTAGATGAACATGTATACCTTTTGGAATATGTGCACAGCCTAGATGAACATTTATACCACTTGGTATCTGTGCACAGCCTAGATGAACATGTATACCTTTTGGAATATGTGCACAGCCCAGATGAACATGTATACCTTCTGGTATCTGTGCACAGCCTAGATGAACATGTATACCTTTTGGAATATGTGCACAGCCCAGATGAACATGTATACCTTCTGGTATCTGTGCACAGCCTAGATGAACATGTATACCTTTTGGAATCTGTGCACAGCCCAGATGAACATGTATACCTTCTGGAATATGTGCACAGCCCAGATGAACATGTTTACCTTTTGGAATCTGTGCACAGCCCAGATGAACATGTATACCTTCTGGAATCTGTGCACAGCCTACATGAACATGTATACCTTTCGGAATATGAACACAGCCCAGATGAACATGTATACCTTTTGGGATATATGCACAGCCTAGATGAACATGTATACCTTTTGGAATATGTGCACAGCCTAGATGAACATGTATACCTTCTGGAATATGTGCACAGCCTAGATGAACATGTATACCTTCTGGAATATGTGCACAGTCTAGATGAACATGTATACCTTCTGGAATATGTGCACAACCTAGATGAACATGTATACCTTCTTGAATATGTGCACTGTCTAGATGAACATGTATACCTTCTGGAATATGTGCACAACCTAGATGAACATGTATACCTTCTGGAATATGTGCACAGCCTAGATGAACATGTATACCACTTGGTATCTGTCTACTTACCCTGACTCATGTCGATGTTTGACTCCCTCAGACTGGTTCACTTCTCACCACTGAAATATTGAAGTAAGTATGAAGAACATGGCAACATGCATAATGCACGGTTTGATTCATTCACAAAACAGATTTTGGTATTTCTAAAAGAATAAAAGACAATTGTCAATATCAATGAAAAGGTAACGGGCAAACTTTCTAAATTACATCTGCTCATTATCAGCCTTTGTGACATTCACTGAGTTCTGTGATTATCCTTCAAGTTGGCACACTCTAACTGCAAAGGGCACATCTAACCATCTTATGAATGTCCTGTGGCTATGGAATGTGCCCTCTGTATGCTGCAGGTGAAGGATGTCCTCTGAGGTCTGCAAGTGTAGGATGTATGGAGTGTGCCCTCTGTAGTCTGCAGGTGTAGGGTGTATGGAGTGTGCCCTCTGTATGCTGCAGGTGAAGGATCTGCGCAGGTGTAGGATGTATGGAGTGTGCCCTCTTTATGCTGCAGGTGAAGGATGTCCCCTGAGGTCTGCAAGTGTAGGATGTATGGAGTGTGCTCTCTGTATGCTGCAGGTGAAGGATGTCCTCTGAGGTCTGCAAGTGTAAGATGTATTGAGTGTGCCCTCTGTAGTCTGCAGGTGTAGGATGTATGGAGTGTGCCCTCTGTAGTCTGCAAGTGTAGGATGTATGGAGTGTCCCCTCTATAGTCTGCAGGTGTAGGATGTATGGAGTGTGCCCTCTGTAGCCTGCAGGTGTAGGATGTATGGAGTGTGCCCTCTGTATGCTGCAGGTGAAGAATGTCCCCTAAGGTCTGCAAGTGTAGGATGTATGGATTGTGCCCTCTGTATTCTGCAGGTGTAGGATGTATGGAGTGTGCCCTCTGTAGCCTGCAGGTGAAGAATGTCCCCTAAGGTCTGCAAGTGTAGGATGTATGGATTGTGCCCTCTGTATTCTGCAGGTGTAGGATGTATGGAGTGTGCCCTCTGTATGCTGCAGGTGAAGAATGTCCCCTAAGGTCTGCAAGTGTAGGATGTATGGATTGTGCCCTCTGTATTCTGCAGGTGTAGGATGTATGGATTGTGCCCTCTGTAGTCTGCAGGTGTAGGATGTATGGAGTGTGCCCTCTGTAGCCTGCAGGTGTAGGATGTATGGAGTGTGCCCTCTGTAGCCTGCAGGTGTAGGATGTATGGAGTGTGCCCTCTGTAGCCTGCAGGTGTAGGATGTACGGAGTGTGCCCTCTGTAGTCTGCAGGTGTAGGATGTATGGAGTGTGCCCTCTGTAGCCTGCAGGTGTAGGATGTATGGAGTGTGCCCTCTGTAGTCTGCAGGTGTAGGATGTATGGAGTGTGCCCTCTGTAGCCTGCAGGTGTAGGATGTATGGAGTGTGCCCTCTCTATTCTTCAAGTGAAGAATGTCTCCTGTGGTCTGCAAGTGTAAGATGTATGGTGTGTGCCCTCTGTAGTCTGCAGGTGTAGCATATATGGAGTGTGCCCTCTGCATGGTGCAGGTGAAGGATGTCCTCTGAAGTCTGCAAGTGTAAGATGTATGGAGTGTGCCCTCTGTATGCTGTAGGTGAAGGATGGTGCCTGAGGTCTGCAAGTGTAGGATGTACGGAGTGTGCCCTGTAGTCTGGAGGTGTAGGTGTATGGAGTGTGCCCTCTGTAGTCTGCAGGTGTAGGATGTATGGAGTGTGCTCTCTGTATGCTGCAGGTGAAGGATGGTGCCTGAGGTCAGCAAGTGTAGGATGTATGGAGTGTCCCCTGTAGTCTGCAGGTGAAGGATGTATGGAGTGTGCCCTCTGTATGCTGCAGGTGAAGGATGGCCCCTGAGGTCTGCAAGTGTAGGATGAATGGAGTGTGCCCTCTGTATTCTGCAGGTGTAGGATGTATGGAGTGTGCCCTCTGTATGCTGCAGGTGAAGGATGTCCCCTGAGGTCTGCAAGTGTAGGATGTATGGACTGTGCCCTCTCTATGCTGCAGGTGTAGGATGTATGGAGTGTGCCCTCTATAGTCTGCAGGTGTAGCATGTATGGAGTGTGCCCTCTGTAGTCTGCAAGTGTAAGATGTATGGAGTGTGCTCTCTGTATGCTGTAGGTGAAGGATGGTGCCTGAGGTCTGCAAGTGTAGGATGTATGGAGTGTGCCCTCTCTATGCTGCAGGTGTAGGATGTATGGAGTGTGCCCTCTGTAGTCTGCAGGTGTAGCATGTATGGAGTGTGCCCTCTGTAGTCTGCAAGTGTAAGATGTATGGAGTGTGCCCTTTGTAGTCTGCAGGTGTAGAATGTATGGAGTGTGACCTCTGTATGCTGCAGCTATAGGATGTATGGAGCGTGCCCTCTGTATGCTGCAGCTATAGGATGTATGGAGTGTACCCTTTGTAGTCTGCAAGTGTAAGATGTCTGGAGTGTGCCCTCTCTATGCTGCAGGTGAAAGATGTATGGAGTGTGCCCTCTGTATGCTGCAGGTGAAGGATTGCCCCTGAGGTCTGCAAGTGTAGGATGTATGGAGTGTGCTCTCTGTATGCTGCAAGTGAAGTGTGTCCTCAGAGGTCTGCAAGTGTAAGATGTATGGAGTGTGCCCTCTGTATTCTGCAGGTGTAGGATGTTTCGAGTGTGCGCTCTGTATGCTGCAGGTGAAGGATGTGCGCAGGTGTAGGATATATGGAGTGTGCCCTCTGTAGTCTGCAGGTGTAGGATGTATGGAGTGTGGCCTCTGTAGTCTGCAGGTGTAGGATGTATGGAGTGTGCCCTCTGTATGCTGCAGGTGAAGGATGGCCCCTGAGGTCTGCAAGTGTAGGATGAATGGAGTGTGCCCTCTGTATTCTGCAGGTGTAGGATGTATGGAGTGTGCACTCTGTATGCTGCAGGTGAAGGATGTCCCCTGAGGTCTGTAAGTGTAGGATGTATGGAGTGTGCCCTCTGTAGTCTGCAGGAGTAGGATGTATGGAGTGTGCCCTCTGTATGCTGCAGGTGTAGGATGTAGGATGTAGGATGTGTGTCCTCTGTAGTCTGCAGGTGTAGGATGTATGGAGTGTGCCCTTTGTATGCTGCAGGTGAAGGATGGCCCCTAAGGTCTGCAGGTCTAGGATGTATGGAGTATGCCCTCTGTATGCTGCAGGTGAAGGATGTCCCCTGAGGTCTGTAAGTGTAAGATGTATGGAGTGTGCCCTCTGTAGTCTGCAGGTGTAGGATGTATGATGTGTGCTCTCTGTATGCTGCAGGTGAAGGATGTCCTGAGGTCTGTAAGTGTAAGATGTATGATGTGTGCCCTCTGTAGTCTGCAAGTTTAGGATGTATGGAGTGTGCCCTCTGTATGCTGCAGGTGAAGGATGGCCCCTGAGGTCTGGAAGTGTAGGATGTATGGAGTGTGCCCTCTGTATGCTGCAGGTGAAGGATGTCCCCTGAGGTCTGCAAGTGTAGGATGTATGGAGTGTCCCCTGTAGTCTGCAGGTGTAGGATGTATGGAGAGTGCCCTCTGTATGCTGCAGGTGTAAGATGTATGATGTGTGCCCTCTGTAGTCTGCAGGTGTAGGATGTATGGAGTGTGCCCTCTGTATGCTGCAGGTGTAGGATGTATGGAGTGTGTCCTCTGTATGCTGCAGGTGAAGGATGTCCTGATGTCTGTAAGTGTAAGATGTATGATGTGTGCCCTCTGTAGTCTGCAAGTTTAGGATGTATGGAGTGTGCCCTCTGTATGCTGCAGGTGAAGGATGTCCCCTGAGGTCTGCAAGTGTAGGATGTATGGAGTGTGCCCTCTGTATGCTGCAGGTGAAGGATGTCCCCTGAGGTCTGCAAGTGTAGGATGTATGGAGTGTCCCCTGTAGTCTGCAGGTGTAGGATGGATGGAGTGTGCCCTCTGTATGCTGCAGGTGAAGGATGTATGGAGTGTGCCCTCTGTAGTCTGCAGGTGTAGGATGTATGGAGTGTGCTCTCTGTATGCTGCATGTGAAGGATGTCCTGAGGTCTGCAAGTGTAAGATGTATGATGTGTGCCCTCTGTATGCTGCAGGTGAAGGATGGCCCATGTGATCTGCAAGTGTTGGATGTATGGAGTGTGTCCTCTGTATGCTGCAGGTGAAGGATGTATGGAGTGTGCCCTCTGTAGTCTGCAGGTGTAGGATGTATGGAGGGTGCTCTCTGTATGCTGCAGGTGAAGGATGTCCTGAGGTCTGCAAGTGTAAGATGTATGATGTGTGCCCTCTGTATGCTGCAGGTGATTGATGGCCCCTGTGGTCTGCAAGTGTTGGATGTATGGAGTGTGTCCTCTGTATGCTGCAGGTGAAGAATGTCCCCTGATGTCTGCAAGTGTAGGATGTATGGAGTGTGCCCTTTGTATGCTGCAGGTGAAGGATGTCTCTTGAGGTCTGCAAGTGTAGGATGTATGGAGTGTGCCCTCTGTATGCTGCAGGTGAAGGATGTCCTCTGAGGTCTGCAAGTGTAAGATGTATGGAGTGTGCCCTCTGTAGTCTGCAGGTGTAGGATGTATGGAGTGTGCCATTTGTATGCTGCAGGTGAAGGATGTCCTCTGAGGTCTGCAAGTGTAAGATGTATGGAGTGTGCCCTCTGTAGTCTGCAGGTGTAGGATGTATGGAGTGTGCCCTCTGTATGCTGCAGGTGTAAGATGTATGATGTGTGCCCTCTGTAGCCTGCAGGTGTAGGATGTATGGAGTGTGCCCTCTGTATGCTGCAGGTGAAGGATGGCCCCTGTAGTCTGCAGGTGTAGGATGTATGGAGTGTGCCCTCTGTATGCTGCAGGTGAAGGATGTCCCCTGTGATCTGCAGGTTAGGATGTATGGAGTGTGCCCTCTGTCGTCTGTAGGTGAAGGATGTCCCCTGAGGTCTGCAACTGGAAGATGTATAGAGCGTGCCCTCTGTAGTCTGCAGGTGAAGGGTGTCCTCTGAGGTCTGCAAGTGTAGGATGTATGGAGTGTGCCCTCTGTATGCTGCAGGTGTAAGATGTATGATGTGTGCCCTCTGTAGTCTGCAGGTGTAGGATGTACGGAGTGTGCCCTCTGTATGCTGCAGGTGAAGGATGTCCCCTGAGGTCTGCAAGTGTAGGATGTATGGAGTGTCCCCTGTAGTCTGCAGGTGTAGGATGTATGGAGTGTGCCCTCTGTATGCTGCAGGTGAAGGATGTCCTGAGGTCTGCAAGTGTAAGATGTATGATGTGTGCCCTCTGTATGCTGCAGGTGAAGGATGGCCCCTGTGGTCTGCAAGTGTTGGATGTATGGAGTGTGTCCTCTGTATGCTGCAGGTGAAGAATGTCCCCTGTAGTCTGCAAGTGTAGGATGTATGGAGAGTGCCCTTTGTATGCTGCAGGTGAAGGATGTCCCCTGAGGTCTGGAAGTGTAGGATGTATGGAGTGTGCCCTCTGTATGCTGCAGGTGAAGGATGTCCTCTGAGGTCTGCAAGTGTAAGATGTATGGAGTGTGCCCTCTGTAGTCTGCAGGTGTAGGATGTATGGAGTGTGTCCTCTGTATGCTGCAGGTGAAGGATGTATGGAGTGTGCCCTCTGTAGTCTGCAGGTGTAGGATGTATGGAGTGTGCTCTCTGTATGCTGCAGGTGAAGGATGTCCTGAGGTCTGCAAGTGTAAGATGTATGATGTGTGCCCTCTGTATGCTGCAGGTGTAAGATGTATGATGTGTGCCCTCTGTAGTCTGCAGGTGTAGGATGTACGGAGTGTGCCCTCTGTATGCTGCAGGTGAAGGATGTCCCCTGAGGTCTGCAAGTGTAGGATGTATGGAGTGTCCCCTGTAGTCTGCAGGTGTAGGATGTATGGAGTGTGCCCTCTGTATGCTGCAGGTGAAGGATGGCCCCTGTGGTCTGCAAGTGTTGGATGTATGGAGTGTGCCCTCTGTATGCTGCAGGTGAAGGATGTCCTCTGTAGTCTGCAAGTGTAAGATGTATGGAGTGTGCCCTCTGTAGTCTGCAGGTGTAGGATGTATGGAGTGTGCCCTCTGTATGCTGCAGGTGAAGGATGTCCTCTGAGGTCTGCAAGTGTAAGATGTATGGAGTGTGCCCTCTGTAGTCTGCAGGTGTAGGATGTATGGAGTGTGCTGTTTGTATGCTGCAGGTGAAGGATGTCCTCTGAGGTCTGCAAGTGTAAGATGTATGGAGTGTGCCCCCTGTAGTCTGCAGGTGTAGGATGTATGGAGTGTGCCCTCTGTATGCTGCAGGTGTAAGATGTATGATGTGTACCCTCTGTAGCCTGCAGGTGTAGGATGTATGGAGTGTGCCCTCTGTATGCTGCAGGTGAAGGATGGCCCCTGAGATCTGCAGGTGTAGGATGTATGGAGTGTGCCCTCTGTATGCTGCAGGTGAAGGATGTCCTCTGAGGTCTGCAAGTGTAAGATGTATGGAGTGTGCCCTCTGTAGTCTGCAGGTGTAGGATGTATGGAGTGTGCCGTTTGTATGCTGCAGGTGAAGGATTTCCTCTGAGGTCTGCAAGTGTAAGATGTATGGAGTGTGCCCTCTGTAGTCTGCAGGTGTAGGTTGTATGGAGTGTGCCCTCTGTATGCTGCAGGTGTAAGATGTATGATGTGTGCCCTCTGTAGCCTGCAGCTGTAGGATGTCCCCTGAGGTCTGCAAGTGTAGGATGTATGGAGTGTGCCCTCTGTATGCTGCAGGTGAAGGATGTATGGAGTGTGCCCTCTGTATGCTGCAGGTGAAGGATGTATGGAGTGTGCCCTGTTCTTTTGAAAACCCAGGTCAAGCCCAACCAAAAGCTTAGGATAGGGTGGAAAATGTCTCTAGTGTAACATATTTTTAATTTACAATGTGATGTGACGTGAAGTGGTAGGTAGGTACATATAACACTATTCTATCAATCTAAACGCATTCGGATACACCTGTGATGTTTTAGTTTGTTTTGCTTGTTGGTTCAATCCTGTACAAACATATTTCTGATTATACAGTGTTTAGTGTTTTGCAAACATGAAAAGCTTCACTTTAATGGATGCATTGTCAAAAGTATTGATTGTAACATTATAAAGAATATAGCATCATAGTGACACATTTGTTGAAGCATGTAAAACTCATTAGTTGATTATCTTAAAATACATGCTTGAATTGTGAGTTTGTAGACACTTGAGTTTTATGGTGAAAATTTATTATGTATATAGACACTTCTAAGAATGCACATTTCTTTTTATTTGTATTTTTAGTAACTTTAACAGTGCTGGAGGTGCTTGAGTTGTTAAAGGGGCACTGATCTAAAGCAATTTCCCAGGACTGGTTGTTGCCTTTGTTATTGTTTTTTCCCGTGAGTACCCAGATGATAAAGCAGAAATCTAGACTAGTTCACGACCTGTGCTGCGTAATTCGTAAGCACATTTGTCACTTTTATTGATAGTATAAGGGTGTATGGTCCCATTGATCAACAAAATGAGAATCAGGTTTGGAAATAATAAGGAAATGCAGGTATCTTTGTAAGAAGCATCGGTAATGGTGACGAAGTTTTGATAAGTCACTTGCTTGGTAATTGTGCGATTTTCGTTTACACTATTTTGACTTGCAACACAAAGTAAATATTTCACCTGAGTATTGCTTATTTTATCTTGTTTATATTTTTACAGTAAGAAATGTGCAAAATTTTTTTATATATTAAATGCTTAAATATTCAGTTATTTTACAAATTGACTGAAAAATATGTCCATCTGTATTATTATAAAACAAATTCCAAAGATCTTTATGTTTAATATCATCACCAAGAGAATGTAAATGTTACGATGAAAAGTACATTTCTGTACTGTTTGGCTTCTAATCCATCATACATAATAATCTATTGTGATGTTTTTAGGCTCTTTTGATTGTCTTAATCAATTTTAGTCAATCTGTTAAAGAAATGGACAGTTTTTACAGTCAAAATGACCGAAATATTTACAAATTTATAAATTGCCCGAGAAAATCACATTCTATAAACTGACTGTAATATATATATGCTTACAAAGGAAAAGACTTGTGAAAACAACGTCTATCGCGCATTGAAGAATTTCCCAACCAAGACGTAGAGGAACAAGAATGAATCTGTTCAATGCTACAGCAAATGAAGTAAAACAAAATGCAAATATCATAATTACAACCTACCAAATTTATGTGTATAATTTTTGGCAGCTTCCTTTTTCGAGGAATGTATCCTTGAATATCCACACAAAGGAACAATACAAAGCTGTACAAAGAAATTTATTCGATGTCACGTGTCTCTGTAAAAATCAAATATTTTAAAATATATATCGTTTCGGGATATTGTAACCCGTGTTCATTTCTCAACTGATCACTTAGATTGTTTCAGTTGTTTCACATAGGTGTCAAGTCTGAAAGGTCGGCTGAGAAAGCCCACGTGACAACTATTTTCACAACATCCACAGATCCTAAAAATCCATTGAGATAGATAACAATAAGCAATCAATCAACCTATTATTTGAACAAAGTATGTTGTTTTTACATCTGCACTTCACGCCATGATATGAGTGTATTCCCTTTGTTTTAGTAAACCTTGACATGTAAACACTCACTTTTGACATATCCACTGTGCAAGATAACAGTGATTAATCAATCAACATATTTTCTGTTAATCCTTTGATGACTAGGAACAATCCGTTGATTTACAAAAAAGTAAATCAACTGATCATTCATCTCTTGCTGGGCTGCCACGTGCATATTACCTCACTTCAAACCTGGATTTAGATTTAGATTAAGCTGTCCTTGCAGACAGTTGCCCAGTCTCTTGTCACACCCAGTTGCATTGCGTATCATCTGGGTACTCACGGGGAAAAAACAATAACAAAGGCAACAACCAGTCCCGGGCAATTGCTTTAGATCAGTGCCCCTTTAACAGGTGTCATGACATTTGGAAATATCCACTTCCAGAAAAAAAATATCCTGTGCGGGTGTGACCCTAGGGCACATATGATTTTTATGACCATATGTATCTTTCGAATAATTTTTGCATTACAAGCCCCTTTGTATATATACTTCTTTGGCACAACAAAATCTCGAACAAAACTTAATAGCAATGTTTGTTTTTCATAATTAGAGTATACAATGAAATAGGAAATGTAATATTTTACATAATTGCTTAATTTTACAGTCGGAGGTAGACCCAGAGCCTCGACAACGCAATTGCCGCACATAACTTTTTCAGATCTTGTGAGAATTTGCGTCATAAAAATAACCAATCACCCAGAGGGTTAATGGTTGGTGACACAGGTCCTCCTCTTGTAAGGGACAGCAGCGACTCCAAGCGGTAGACCCGGGAACCAGTCTAGAAAAAGACTGTGTCAGTGTACGATTTCCTTACGATAGCTTTACGACAATCTTAGCCCAAAGATCATTTCGAAAATCTGGACGCTGAATTCTAAAGTTAGGCTGTGATGTGAATGTGGTAATGACATACCTTGTCATCTGAATCATCATTAAAACTCAAGGCAAATTTGCCGACAAAGTATGAGGTCTACGACTGAAGAGTTACCGCTCTTTTCACGCTTGTGGGGTGGGGGTGTGGGGGTGGCGGTGAGGGGGGGGGGGGGGGGGAGAAAAAACGCCCGGGCCTGATGAAAAGATCATCATGATCATAGCGCCTGCTATACATGCTACACTAGAAGAGCCATTCGAATCAAATACTAATAATCCATGAATCTTGCTAATCAATGAATAGATAGGCATATAATACTCACCGTCTACCGTCTATAGACACTGTCCGTTTTAAACCAACTGCATGACGTCGACCTGAGTCTTACATAACAGCTTCTGAAGGGGAGAACGTATTCCGCTATATTGACTACGATCACGTGACAACCTCACGCAATGCATTTCCTGGAACAGTTGCCAAGCATGGAAGGTACAGTTTAATTGTACTAGGTACGGGGAGTGGGTTGCAAATACCTTATACGGGCATACGCTATCATTAAGTCTGAAATCGGGGACGTACGTCAATCATATTTACGCTGTGATCACGGACCTATATACAAGTCCGTGGATTGATGCATTCCTTTAGTGTGCCTATGTGGAGGCCGATATGTATTCATACATGAAGAGCTAGCTGGTTATATACATTTCAATCTGTCTAGGCCCTAGCTATGTAGGCTACTCCGAACCACGTGTGTGGTGTGTGGAAGGTGGGGTGGGGGTCTATCGAACACCGTGCCGACGAACATACAACGTGAAAATGAAATAAATAATCAACATTACTTTTATTACTGGTCATTATTGACACTAATGGCACAGTGATATTTCTAGCGGTGTTAATTGTGCAGTTACAAAATTGACATCATTGATCATTACTTGTGTTTCTGTCAGTGATATGAAGGTAATTACAAGTTCAAACATATTGTCATAGCGACTGATTTACGACTACCATTGTCTGAAGTACATTTGATTGCAAAGGCTAATTACCCTGTAGCCATGACATGTATTTATCATCCAAAACTGGCTCCCACAGGAGATATCGCTTGGGTGAGATCAAGCAATATCTAGGGCGCGTTGCAAAGCGCCAATCGCTTGTAAGCGATGTACAGCGATTCGCCTTACAACAGTGCGCTAACTTTCAGCCGCTTGCAAGCGAAACAATCGCTGACTGAGGTCGCTTCGTTCTCAAACCAAAATGGCGGCTTACTTTGACAGCGGAACAAGGAATTCTTGACTGGATCAACTAGAAAATGAGCAAAGGTAGCTAACACCCCATCATCCTCAGTCTGCTCCACATCTTCAAAGTAGTCATAAATTTCATCAGCTCGTCATCGAGCCTCTTCTATTACGTTCTTCATTACGCAGATGGTCAGGCTCGCTGACATGGTTGATGCATGTCATCGTATCCCAATTACGTGGATAGATGCTCATGATGTCAACCACTGGATTGTCTGGTCCATACTCGATTATTTACAAACCGCCGTCATATAGCTGGAAGATTGCTGAGTGCGGCGTTAAACAACAAACACACAAACGTCAAGGCAACCAAGCGGTATAGTTGTACCGCCATTTTGGAAGAGTGCGCAAGCGCTTCGAACTGTTGCAGACCCCGGGTTGAGCGATGAATTTGCTTTCTCTAAGCGATTCGTGGCTTGCAACGCGCCCCTATACTGTAGATATCGCTGCAATGAAATTGCATCACAATGCTTTGCAGACCATTGTGACGTCATTGGTTACCATGACGTCACAATCAAATGACATCACTAATGGCTCTGCTACTGAAGCTGTTAGCAGTACTAAGTACACTTAAGACACTGCTTATTACTTTCTACAAACTGAAAAAGTTGGAAGAATGATGTTGGATGATAAATAAAATCTCACGCATGTGTCTTTTGATATCAAATATATCAACACTCGTTGATAAAAGTGGAAAAAAATCCTCGGCAAACCTCGGAGTTTTCCAACTTTTATCAACTCGTGTTGATATATTTGATATCAAAAGACACTCGGGTGAGATTCTCTATATGTCTCCGTAACTTAATTGTCATTATTTATAAGACACTAATCCCCGTTGTTAATCCTCACCAACATTTCATTGTATTTTGACTGTCAGTCAGCCTGGACTACCATGTCACTTCCCTTTAAATACTGCTTTTTATAGTATGGCATTTATTGCCCTAATTGATCATCCCATGAACTGTGTTGGTTAATCACGCCCACATGTCCAATGTCCAAAGCAACGTCGTTGTCTCTTTGTCTGTCCATTGTTGTTCATTACTATATATGTGCTACCATTACACAGTTACTACGGTGTTAGTCAGGCTTGGTATTCCGAGTGCTGGCATAGGGACGTCCTCGAGCAGGATGTGCCGCTCGTAGGAAACGCCCTGAGGTGAGCTGGAGCTCCGCTCACCTCTTGTACGCCTGAGCTGGAAGGTCCGCTCATCGCTGTGTTTGTGTTGTCAGAGCAGGTATTCCGCTCATTGTGCAATTGTTGTTTATTGTAAAACTTACATGTTGTGCATAAAGCGTTCCGGGACAGTGATGTCGATTTTGTCCTTTATTCCCACAAGAGCTAATTCCCCGTCAACTACATGCGCGTTGACAACTTGTACATTTTCAGGAGCAAGATGGCATGATAGCGAATGTAAAGAGCTGAAACATGAGAAATATCGTATTCTTAATATGTTTAGAATAACTGGTGATCTGAACTATTTACAACAGTTTAGACAGTTAAGAAATGCGTATCGAAATATGTGTAGACAAAAGAAATTGAATTTTGAAGAGCGATTACTTGAGGTTTTAATGTCTCATACTTGTAATCCTATTGGGCCTTCAACTGATGCCTATAGAACTATACATCCAGAGCAGTCAAGTACTGGTGCAGACTGATCCAGTAACCACAGCATAGGCTTCCCCTCCAAGCTTATAAAATGATTAAAATTTGGGCATCTCATATGAGAAATATTTTATTTAGATATGGTTTTGGATTTATATGGCTGTCTCAAGACATTGGTTGCATCTAATTATTTTTGGTAATCTTCAAACAATGATTTTATGACTGCTTCTTTCAATATTGGCATCACTCTCTCTGATGATAGTAAAAAGGGCGTTCTGGACCGGGAGTTGGGGGATTTTCATTATTTATAGTAACAGGTGAATGCCCTCGTGCTAAAAAAAAGATGTGTGACGTGTCGATCGTGTATCAGCATTATCTTGAACTGTTTTGGGTTGAGTCAATATATCAAATGTATATGTGTAAGGGAAAACAATAATAAGCGTGGAAATGATCATGAATTTAACGAAAGATATAGTTAAACGAGGCTAACCATTTAACTCTAAACAAGGGAACCTCGCTATGTGTATAAAACGAGTTAGTCCTAGCCGTGCGTGTCTCAACATGTCACGCCTGCAGCCAATGAAAGCGTGCTTGAATGGACTGGTTTATCGCGTAGGGCTGACTGACTGATATAGGAGATTTAACGTGCGCTTTCCGACTGTAGCGTATTTCGCACACGGGCCTGGCCGGACCATTTAGTGTATTCCGAAAAGGGTGAAAGTGGTGTGTGCAACCCAAGAGGGGGCTTTTAGGGGTTGCTTATATTGAATTTTTGGAATTTTTAAATTTGGAATAAATGCAGAGGTGGGTGGAGGAGGGAACTAAGGGAGCCGGGTGGGGTGGGTGTTTGTATGTTAATTGGATTTTGGATTGGTAGATTAATGAGTTTTTAGATGCGCTTAATTAGATCTGTTTTGATTAGGAATACGCCTAGGGCCTTGAAGTTTTCTAGTTTATTTTGAGGGTTTAGTATTTCATCTAGAGTAGGAACCTTATTTAGATTGAGGATGGTTTGTAGTGTGGTTCTGTGTGTTTGGTAGTGGGTGCAGTGGATGAGTGCGTGTTCTGTGGTTTCGGGTTGTTTGCAGTGGGGGCAGTTGCCTGTGGTGTGTCTTTTAAGTTTTTTTAGGTGGTTATTTAGGTTCGTGTGTCCTGTTTGGAGTTTTGTAATTAATCTGTCAATTTTTTTAGAGGGGTGTAGGATTTTAGGTTTGGCTAGTGGTTTTCTGAGCACTTTTTTGATTTGGCTATTTGAGTTTTGATATTGATTATGCCATTTTTTGGTTATTTTTAGTTTGTTTACACTTTTAATTTCTGATTTTGAGATGGGTAGGTTTAGGCTTATTTCTAGTATTTTAAGAGATATTTAGCTGCTTTGCCGTAAATTCCTACGTGGGCGGGGATCCACAAGAAGGTTATTTGTTTGCCTGCTTTTGTTAGATCGTTGGAGCTTTTAAGTATTTGGTTTATTAATTTAGGGCGTTTTTTGGTATTTTTGTTTTGGAGGGCTTGTAGTTCACTAAGGGAGTCGGTGAGAATTAGGATTTGATTGTTGTTTTTAGATTGTTGGCTATGCAGGGCTGAGGCCATGCCCATAAGTTCGGCCGTGAATATAGATTGGTTGTTAGGGAGTCGGTAAGATTGTGTGGATTTAACTGGTTGTGTGGTATGGACTCCGAAGCCTGTGTGGTTGGAGATCGGGTCTGAAGATCCGTCAGTGTATATGTGACACCAATTTGGCCAATTTTCGTGTATGTATGCAAGTGTGGTGGTTTTAGCTATGTTTGAGTCGGTTTGTTTATTTATTTGGTTAGCTAGCGTTGTGTCTATTTTGGGTATTTTGAGTTTAGGGGTGAAGATATTTGATTTTTTGCAGTTTTGTTTTAGATTTTGAGTTTGGTGTTCACTGAGGTAGTTAGTTATTCTTTGGGATATTGGGGTGGGTAAGGGGTGTTTGCGAGCTAGAGCTTGGTTTCTTGGGCTAATGTTTTGGTTAATTAAGTTTTGGATGAGAGGGTTTGTTTGGGACGCGGACCAGAAATTAAGGCTTAGATGTTCCCTGCGTAGTTTTAGTGGCATTTCCCCAGTAAGGGCCTGAAGTGAGGTGTAGGAGGTGCCATGTTGGGTGCGTGTAATTAGTTTAAGGGCTTGGTATTGTATTGAGTCAAGTTTTTTTAGATAGAGAGTTGTTTAGGGTATTGTATATGGCGCAGGCGTAGTCTAGTTTTGATCTAACTAGTGCTGTAGAGCGTGAGAGGAGTGTATCTTTGGAGGCTCCCCAGTTAGAGCCGGTGAGACATCTTAGTGTGTTAAGGTCTTTGCTGCATCTAGTTTTTAGGTTTTGGACGTGAGCCTCCCAGGTGAGGTGTTGATCGAAAATGAGTCCTAAGAATTTGGTTTGTTTATGGAATTTGATTGTTTGGTTGTTTAGCTGGAGGATTGGGTAGGCAGGTTTCATGTTTTTATGTTTGAAGACTACTCCTGTTGTTTTATCTGAGTTAAGGGAGCAGGATCCATTTGTCTGCCCATTGTTGTATTTTATTTAGAGATTTTTGGATTAAGTTT